TTATTTTTTATTATTTAGTGTTCTGTCTGACGCTAGGTCCATATGAACAGGATCCTTCCCTCTTTTTCTCGGACTGGGCCCTGTTCATATACGTTCTTGGCAGATGATCGAGAAGTGGTTTGCCATTGCCTTCTTCTGTGTGTGTGAATGGAGTAATTGTTGGGATGCCACGGAGGAAAACTCCGTGTTGCCTAGACCACGGCCTTGCCCAACACAAGTTATAAATTCGGGCACCGCCGGGAATCTAACCCGGGACCCCAGGATTACAAGGCCAGCGTTCTAACCGCTAGACCACCGTGGCTATACGTTCAGGATATAGAAAATTATATCTGACTCAGTCCATGCGGCAGGGACGTTCTTGAGGATCTGACAGTGTCCTCAGCTGCTCAAGAAATTTCTCCAACTCTAATGAAACCCGGAGGTTTCTTATCGTGTCCGTACGATTCCGTCAGAGGTCTGTATCCTGGTACAGACGAATCAGATCCACGGCCTCTGACACTGTTTTCCCAAGATTTATTGTAATAATATACTTGCATCTATACCTAGGTCTCCCGTGTGGTCTCTTTCTTCCAGATTTTTCGACCATACTTTTGTACTAATTCGTCATATCTTCATTCGCTCTACATGCTCTGCCCTTCTCAAACACCTTGATTTGTCAGGGAAAAACCCTTATTTGTGAGTATTAGAGAATCATTCTAACACTGTAAATTGTGTGCGTTGCATTACGAAGATTTTAAAGGGTTTTTTATTATTTTTGCAGGGTAGAAATAGGAAAAAGTTAATAAAAATATATGGAAATACAGAAAAAGAAAGAGAATGAAATGATAAGTAAACAGTGAGAGAGAATAATTAAGGAGAGAGACGAGAATTACGGAGAAAGTGTGAATAATTAATAGCGGAGAAATTGCATTAATTAGTTGAGGAACAGTTGTTAAGTCTGGATAAAAGTGGAGAAACCAAGACAGAAAAGGTAACCAGAGAGAGAGAGAGAGAGAGAGAGAGAGAGAGAGAGAGAGAGAGAGAGAGAGAGAGAGAGAGAGAGTGTAGCCAAATGCCAGAATGATTCAAATTTGGTTGGTGACGTAGAAATAAGTACTCAACATTATGGGACACGAATTAATTTAAGGTTAGAGATGGAAATATAATTTAGCCATGACTGGAACCAGCGCATGCTAGAATGCAACAAATAAATAATGGAACCAGCGCATGCTAGAATGCAACACATAAGTAGTTATATAGTGTGTTTATAGCGCTATATTAATGCAGTAAAGTTGTTTGTGCGTGATAATCTCTCGGAAGAAGAAACTATTTTTTAACTATTTAGGTCACAGTATTTCAGCCTCTGAGAATAACGATTTAGAAGCGAAACAGCGTAAATTTAGTCACATGTGTGAGACGATAAGAACTGAATTGTATAAAAAGGCGAGGGACACGAGAAATGAAACACTTTAAAACTCTAATTATTCGAAGATTAACATACAGCTCTGAAATATGGGCTCTTAGGAAAACATGGACAGACAGTAGAAACTGCAGAAATAAGTTATCTTGGAAGTGAGGCTGGCTAAGATTATGCGATCAGATCATAAACACAACAGTTAGAATTTATATTTAATTAATTAATCTTGTCCGTCTAATCACAATTTAAAATTTAAAATTAAGATACTTAAAATACAGTTAAATTAAATTAAATATATATTTTCACAATATGACGCAACTCTATCATCTTATAGTTAGAATTTAATTAAATTACATTTATTTGAGGTATACTAGCTACTAAAGAACGATGCACTTAATTGAATCTAACATGTAAAAAAAAAAAATCGAAATGCAGTCACGAACAGTTGATGGGGAGTGTAACTACACAAGAGCGGGCGATGCTTCGTTTTAAAAAGCAGCCAAATTTAATACGGACGTATTGAAGGTGCTAACCTTGATGATGATGATGATTACTGAGGCAGATAATGACGAGCGTGCGAGGTGATCGTGGAATGGCCTACGTGCATTAGCAGGAACACGCGTTCGGCTGGTTAATTTGTGGCTTTGTTCTGGTGCGATTGAAACATTGAATTCACGAGTAATGAAAATTAATTACTGAGGGGCAGGCCCGAATATAATTTGGAAATAAACCTTTAATTAGCCCCTAACATCGATGTAGACTCTTGTTTATTTTTAAACCATAATTTTTGTGCAAAACAAATATTCATCTACGGAGCATGTGCACCCACACTGCATTTTCAATGAACTGGTCATTAATCAGCAACCCCTGAATATCGCGCATGCGCAGTTTCGTTTGTGTCGGCGAGAAATGATTGGAATTACAGCGTACAGAAATGTTTGATACGCGGTAAAAAAACACGAGCTCTGTGCTCATGCGTGTAGGAATTGAAGCAGATCACACACACGACGTTGTTCTTGGGTTTTCGATGACGTTTCGGCAAGAATTATATTTGCCATGTTCACGATGATTGTGTAATGGTTTGGCGTGTCTCGAAACCTTAAACAAGGCATGTCGTACATCGCTTTTTTGGGTTTGCTGGTGCTGATTGATGGAGAAAAAGATCTGGCTTCTGCCCCAGCATCCATCAACACCCATCCATTATATATTCAACCTGAAGATGATAACTGCAGTGTTTGTCGAAACACTGGATAATTTTCAACATTTATCTTGTCTCATCTCCGAAAATCAAAGTCGCACATTGTATTCTTTGGCTGTGTAACGACGCTTTTCAACTGCTTATATTATGCACCTTTAGATAGTATAATAATTATGAAATAGAATGGGAGGAAGTGGTCGTGGCCTGTGAAAGGTGGTATCTCCGCATTTTTCGTACAAGCACCGAGGAAATGGGCGGAAGTGTCCAGCCTGGATATTCTGTCTTCGGAAGAAATTCGCATTCGGAACCTCGAGATCATGAAGCAGGAATATCGGCCATAAAACTGGTACATGTGATAAGTAAATTTGTAATGAAGGGTTTTATTCAGAAAGAGAAGTATAGATTTGAATGGATTACCAGATTTTCATACACACTGTAACGACGGAAAACCTGTACGTTTGGCTGTTAATTTGGCCTGAATGCGCTGTGGGGACTTCAGCCTCGCTCACGATCCATCTCTCTCTCTCCCTTTCTGTCCCACTGCGGTTCAGAAGAGACGCAGTCATTTGTCGAGAGTTGTCAGTTCACTTTTCAAAAGTAACGCCGTCAGTTTGTGCCTACTAGTCGCCAAACAACTTCGCACTAGAGGCGTCTGCCCGGTAGCCCACAGCCCAGTCAGCGATGAGTCTCGCACATTTTGATGCTCAGTTCTCTGCGCCTCATTTGTCAAAACAATCATGTTCATCGTCTTTCTAATTCGTGTTACATTTCGCATTATCGTGTCATTAAATCGCCACTTTGAACGATATATCTGTCTGTTGTTCAAATATCTAGTGCGTGTGTTGGACGAAGGCTGGGTCGTTTGGCCGTACAGTCTGATAGAAGTTTGGCGATGTTTCAGATGTGTTTGCTGCCTCCATCTTCAGGAGTCAACAGACCTTCATCCAGACTCCACGGCCAACCCAGAAGATTTCTGTCTTCGTAATCGTAATCTCAGATGTGTTTTAATTTTGACAAATAAAATTAATTAAGCTAATTAAGGAGACTTGTATGAGCAGGGCACGTAGCATGCATGGAAAGGCATTACTTATATCTCAGGAAATTAGAGGAAGAGACAGCGAATAAGATCTATCTGTAGGAAAGAGGCTCTTAAATTTTGGGATGTGTTATTAACAACACTCATTTCACGTTCCTAGCTTCGGTCCACGTTAAAGTTCTAAGGAGTTGCTTATTGCGTTAGATGCTTTGTCCGGTGGCCTGTCCCCCCCTGTCGCCGTGGAATTGCACGAAGTGACCATTCCCGTTTCTAGCATTTGGCTTGGCCACTAAACGTGAGGTGCTCATTTTCGTCTATTTGTGATTTCAGAAAGACGAGGGAATTTATTTTCTTGTACATTCATTCTGAGTTACGTAAAATAGCCTTGGCCACGTGCGTCAAAATGGCCACTCTTCAAAGTTGCATTTTTTTTTCCCCTTGTATCTGGAAATTTATATTCAGGCAGCAGTTCGTGAGACGTAAACGTCGTGGTTCTTATGTTATACTTTACAGCAATGCTGTCCTGTAATGGCAGACATATTATCGAGGGTGCTAATGGCTTTAATGTGTAGTGAGATCAATTTCCAGTTTTAAAAATTGAGTTAAAATGTCTTATCGAGTTTCTTTCTTCCTTATAAACATCTACTTAATTCCAACCACACTAACATGTAGCATGCACAACTAGGCCGGCCCGTCTCACAAGGTAGCAGCATTACTCCATCGACGGGGCGTAGCCTTCAAGAGGAAATTTTATCTTCCAAATTGGGAAAGAATCGAGTTCAATTTGTGCTTCGTATTGTCTCTTTCTAACGCAAGACCACGCCATTCATGTTAATCTCTGTTCTCAAGGCTGTCTGAGACACGTACAAAATCTAAAGTCGTTATATCGGTTAAATTAATAAGTTATGTAGTCGCTTACAACCGGTTAAAGTGTCTTGTGCAGTTTTTCCTTCAAGTGATCGGTATGAAAATACAGCAATGTACGATGTGGAAAATCCGACTAAGAGCCTTCTGATGGTTCGTTCGTTTGTGCAAGCATTCTAATGTAGTATCTTGGCGTTCAGAAACGAAGGTGTGGAATAAGGAATATGATGAACACAAAGAGAAACGACTGAATAATATCACCCACGAAATGAAGACTTTTCAACTAAACACGCGTAATTGGTTGTTGTGCGGGACTGCATAACAAGTATTTCGAAAGCATTCAACTGTGTTCGATGGACCTGCCCGCTGGTCACCATCCTAAAAGGGATTAATTTCTTCCCACAATTCCATCCTATTTATTTAATATCTATTTTAATAGTATCCTCCAATTTCCGCCTGGGTCGTCCAAGTGGTCTTTTCCCTTCAAGTTTTCCCAACAGAAATTCTGAGCTGATGAGGTTTTACGCTGTCATGGCTAGTGGGAAAAGGTGCATATTTCGTGGGGAGCTGTTAGAAACATCGCAGTCAAACATGCCGACAGACGGTTTTCTTACTGAAACGTGTGTAGGGGGAGTTCTGAATACGTAACATTGCTATCCACTACGTTCTGACGTGCAGATACCTATAATTTTTAGCCGAATGCGTTGACGTGAAGAATTTCAGTCTACTATAGCGTAAGATGTTCGCTACGGTGGTCTAGCGGTTAGAACGCTGGCCTTGTAATCCTGGGGTCTCGGGTTCGAATTTATAACTTGTGTTGGGCAAGGCCGTGGTCTAGGCAACACGGAGTTTTCCTCCGTGGCATCCCAACAATTACTCCATTCACACACAGAAGAAGGCAATGGCAACCCACTTCTGGATCATCTGCCAAGAACGTATATGAACAGGTCCCAGTCCGAGAAAAGGATGGAAGGATCCTGTTCATATGGACCTGTCCTCAGACAGAACACTAAATAATAATAATAATAATAGCGTAAGATATTGGAAGAAACGCTGCCTCGATACGTAAGAGTTTGAGTCTTAAGGTGTTGTGTGTCACCAAGGCATTTCAAATTCGTTGGAAGGGAGGACACTGGGCGGAGCTTCCATTCCTTTGGTCATTGTACTAACGAACAGGAAGAAAAAAAGAATCATTTAAAAAATTGCAGTGGAAAATTCTGACCAACAGGTTCTCATGGACGATGGTAGAAGCCAATTAATATAAAGAACTAACATTTATTCTCCTTGTATTTATTTTTAACCGAAATAATATATTTAATAATCCAGTCCGTACCGAGAAGAAAACACCACGCGTAACCATTAACAAATATCAACTGTTTAACGCTGTTTAAGGAAATGATCGCTGTGGACAATGAAAATTATAGTCACGCTAAAAACGTTAATACAAAAAGTAACTTTATCGGTTCTTAAACCTGGTGGTGCGCATAGTTACCACTCGGCTTTAAAGGATTAAATGTACTCGTAATTGGACAGAACTCTGGCGTAATATTGTCGTTGACACTCTACGGAGCTTTCAGAATATTGTATTGTCGTCACATAATGTAAGTCTGTCTGTACGTAATTTTTACTTTGGTATTTTGTTGGGATTTGAGTAGATATTCACTCACATTTCACAAGTTTAGGGGCCAGGAACCTGTTTCCGGCAGAAAAAAACCTCTGATTGTTTCTAAAGCCTGACTAACTCCACAGCACACAGTCCTTGATCAGCTGATAGCTCAACTGATCAAGGCATTCCTCGCCCTTTATGGAACCGGAACGTTCTGTGCATTGTCCAGAATAATCCGCCACTGGTCCGTTACATGAAACATTGCAAAGTATTTCGAACCGTCAGACTATGACCTTTAAGACGCATTTTAACTAAATAAATGCACATTTATGATTTTATTAACCGTGTCTTTTGTTTATTTTATATTCTATTATAATATGTTATTCGTGTAAGCTTACCGAAATAGTCTCATCTGTAGCAAAATTACGTAATATGCCCTTTTAATATTCATTAATATATTAAAAATAATTAAACGTGTAATTAAGATTTGTTCTGATTATTACGTTCTGTTGGCCAGTCGGAGAACCAGATTGTCATGCCGATGATAATAACGAACTGTACAAAATTATTAATTTCTTCTCAATCCGCTGAACGCCTTGCTTAATCACAGATTCTAGGGCATCTCTCCGGAATGCTGGGCTCCATTTGACTTCATTGCCTCACAGATTACAGTCGGTCTGGTAACTTTCCTCCTTTAAAGCTTCAAATTACGTGCTTAACCGACCGCGTACTTTACGTGCTTCAGAACGGACGGAACTTCGAAACTGCACACACCACGTGTAACGACAAACCGCATTATTTGCGTGCGGAAGTAATTTTCCTATCGTACTGTCAGTATTAGTTATGATTTTCTTTAATCTTATGGAATGATATTCAGTCTGTGGATTTCTGAAGCGTTTTAGTGATTGGGCAGTAGATAATATTTCCTCGCGAGAAATTATTTTCAGCCACAGGACTCATTTCTGACCATAATAGAATAATGGTTCATTTATCCTCGAGTTTGTTAAGATTGCGTCCTGAAACAAACGGATAAGGCGAATTTAGCCAAGAATAAAAATTGTTTGCTTGTCGCTGAATTAGAAATACGTCGTTGGAGGTTACAGACGTACCATATTTTATAAATATCGTAATTCGATGGATCCGTTTCTGTTCTCATTTTGTTTCGAAGGAACTAATGTGGGTCAGTAATCTCGCAGACAGATTCACAGACCAGTCGTATGAACCTTCATGTAAGCGAGCTTAAGAACCGCCACAAATCACGCACAGCTGGAACTTACACACCAGAGCCGCTAAAACGAAGTTCTGGCCAAGTGCTTAGGAACACACGAGCGTGCTCATGGAGCGGCAACTGAGACACTATTAAATCACGCACAGCTGGAACTATTGTCCTTGAGAGCAAGATACGTGTTAAATATTTAAATATTTTTTGTTTCAATGGTTGTAGTTTTGATTTCAAAAAGCATTGCGGAAAATGTGCAGAATTTTTCTAACAGTATAACTTGGGTGTCAGTAGATAAAACGAAAGCTTGACCTTTTTTAGAAAATTGTCAGTCAGCCCCGAAGGGACCCTAAAAATACCCCGTGTCCTTATCTCTGTGCCTTGCAGCTAGACATTTACATTCCCGTGTGGGCGGCTTTAAGTTCGAACAAGAGTTGGCCCCGAACGTTGCAAAAGATTGTCGTGAAATGCAAAAGACGAATTATTTGAATACGTTATTACTATTAATGCGATCAAATGGTGAAAAAATTGATGTGGGTGGCACATGAGTGCGTACAAAATTTTTAATCGAAAAACCCTGTACTGAAAATACAACTTTGATGACTATGGCGCAAATTGGAGGATGATATTGAAATGCATCGGATGTAAATGGGATTTGAGGGTGTCGACTGGATTTATTTTTCCCTTTATAGCCCCCCCCCTCCATGGTGAGCTGCAGTGAAAATGATGATTGTAAACACGCGGCCATCTTTAATCTCATCTCTGAGCTTTGCCACACTTTCACCATCAAAATTTCCTTCGTATTAACTGTTTCTTCCTCGTATGTTAAGTACCGTAGCAGTCTTGTACGCAGAGAACGAAATATAAATGTTCTTGAAGATATCCGTCTTCTGGGTTATTGCGCTGTGTAGTCTGGTCGATGTTAACCAGCGTTTCAGAGGTCATACTGCCTCCGTCATCAGAGTATGAAGATTTCCGTCTTCTGGGTTATTGCGCTGTGTAGTCTGGTCGATGTTAACCAGCGTTTCAGAGGTCATACTGCCTCCGTCATCAGAGTATGAAGATTTCCGTCTTCTGGGTTATTGCGCTGTGTAGTCTGGTCGATGTTAACCAGCGTTTCAGAGGTCATACTGCCTCCGTCATCAGAGTATGAAGATTTCCGTCTTCTGGGTTATTGCGCTGTGTAGTCTGGTCGATGTTAACCAGCGTTTCAGAGGTCATACTGCCTCCGTCATCAGAGTATGAAGATTTCCGTCTTCTGGGTTATTGCGCTGTGTAGTCTGGTCGATGTTAACCAGCGTTTCAGAGGTCATACTGCCTCCGTCATCAGAGTATGAAGATTTCCGTCTTCTGGGTTATTGCGCTGTGTAGTCTGGTCGATGTTAACCAGCGTTTCAGAGGTCATACTGCCTCCGTCATCAGAGTATGAAGATTTCCGTCTTCTGGGTTATTGCGCTGTGTAGTCTGGTCGATGTTAACCAGCGTTTCAGAGGTCATACTGCCTCCGTCATCAGAGTATGAAGATTTCCGTCTTCTGGGTTATTGCGCTGTGTAGTCTGGTCGATGTTAACCAGCGTTTCAGAGGTCATACTGCCTCCGTCATCAGAGTATGAAGATTTCCGTCTTCTGGGTTATTGCGCTGTGTAGTCTGGTCGATGTTAACCAGCGTTTCAGAGGTCATACTGCCTCCGTCATCAGAGTATGAAGATTTCCGTCTTCTGGGTTATTGCGCTGTGTAGTCTGGTCGATGTTAACCGACGTTTCAGAGGTCATACTCACCGCTGTGAGAACCTCAAGTCTTACATAAATGTTCTTATTTTGCTAGTGTCTTCGTCTCTGGCCGCACATTTGAATATTCCACATTTTATTACATTTTGAAATAACCGAAGTGCCATCTTAAATGGCATGATACGAAGCGCCCCTGTCGAGTCTCGAACTGCTCGAATTGCCTAGAATGCATGTCGCAAGCCAACCTAACCTAACCTTCCTTAGGGTAATATTGAAACGAGTCCTTTTGGAGGGCCTCGCCCAGTTTGAGACCCCGAAAGGTGGTCGTCCGCCTGCCTTCTTCGGCGTCTAGCCACTGCGTCCAGAAGGCGCGCTCGGTCATCATCTGCATTCGCATGGTT